ACACTGGTAATAACACGACCAATTGATCGGGGCTAATGGTCGGGGCTTAATCATCGGGGCCATAAACGGTCCAATCCGCGTCGTCGGTGCTTTTGAAACTCAAATTAGCATTGCTAACGTGCCATGAGGTAACGGACATTAGGGTTGACAGTTTTTGACAGTTACCAATTTTTGTTAAAGAGCCATCTGTTTGCATTGTAACGAATGTCAAAACACATCTTGTTGGGTGAAGGCTGTGCTGTTCACATTGTCTGTGACCACGCATCATTTCGTGCCATCTCCTGGCGAAGTGGTCATAACAATGAAAGCTGTGTAGGGCTTGAACCCCCGGCGCACATGAACTTAGCTCCGTGGGCAATGAGACTGCGGCAATGATTGCGAACTCCCATGGCACTGGATGATGAAGTTCGTAGAGCACGTTGTGTTGATGGTCATTGAATTATCGAATCAACGTCATGTGTTATTGATTCTTATCATCTTCTTTTGTTTACTCAGCCGAGGATAGTCATACAGATCGACAATGATGCAGGAGTCGTATTATGTAGGATGTACGTGGTGCTGCAGTGGATAATAAAGGTTAATCATCGAAGCTCAGGTGTATAAATACTTGCCAAGTTCACCCTCCCCCCTCCTCCAATATTTGCCCAGTTGGTGTTCTCCTTATCCATATTCAACAAGAAACAACACAAAGATGAGCACTAACTTACAACCAAAGTATTCCAAAGACGTCCAGGACGATTTTTCACCGTCAAACGGTGATAATACTACATTCCAGCCACCTCAAGAACAGGAATATATCAGTACCCCACCCATCAGATCCAACATCAAGATGTCATATGCCAAAGTCTATGACACCCAGCCCGAAGGTTTTTACCAATCAATGGTTAATGGATTCGGTTCGTTTTTCGGATCATTGGGTATAATTCCATGTTGTTGTTGTTCAAACCCATACACTGATGTCAAGCAAGGTACCGTTGGTCTGGTTACTAAGTTCGGTGAGTTGGCAAGAGTTGTTGATCCTGGTTCCACTTACGTGAACATCTTTTCAGAGAAGCTGTATACTGTGAGTATCAAGACTGAGGTTCAAGAGATTCCTTCCCAGGTCTGTATGACCAAGGATAACGTTAACGTTGGTATCAAATCTGTCGTTTACTACAACATTGTGGATCCTCAGAAGGCTGTGTTTGGTATCTCTGATATTTCAGAAGCAATCTCTGAAAGAACGCAAACCACGTTGAGAGATGTCATTGGTGCAAGACTACTACAAGACGTTATCGAACGTCGTGAGGAGATTGCAGAAGCCATTGAAGAAATCATCCAACATATTGCTGCGGATTGGGGTGTATCTGTAGAATCAATCCTCATCAAGGATTTACAATTGGATTCTACAATTACAAATTCTTTATCCCAAGCAGCTCAGGCGAAGAGAATCGGTGAGTCAAAGATCATCACTGCAAAGGCTGAAGTTGAGAGTGCCAAATTGATGAGACAAGCTGCTGATATTCTCGCTTCTAAGCCTGCTATGCAAATTAGATACTTGGACGCTATGCAAAATATGGCGAGATCTTCTGGCTCTAAAGTTATCTTCATGCCAAGTTCCGGTGACGTTGAAAAGGCTGCAAGTGATGTTTCAGGTACTCAGTATGAAACGTCCTCTTCAAATCATGCAAAGTCAAGTAACAAGACTGATATGATAGCAATGCAAGAAGCATTGAGTTGATCTCGTTGGATTTTTCACGAATCTTTATATTCTTAATTTTTGATACGGTGTCTGGTGTCATAATTCCACTATCCTTCAAATAATGATGTTAATTTTATATTTCTCTGAAGTTAATTGTAGCAATACTTTGAGTAACAGTTGTAACAAAACTCTGGGAGTGTCATGTTATTCAACAAGCTTAGACTTCTCTCCTTTCTGTCGAATTCTCTCTTTATCAAGATACAACCGATACAACGTGGATAATCTCTATCGATGGTGGAATTGGCATAGGTGGCAATATTATAGGCATTTTGTATCATCTTGCTCATTTCAGCATCGTCATAAGAAACTCGAAAAGTTGATGTATTTGAGGAATATGAGTACTCACTGTTAGAGAAAAGTCCAACAATGGGAGGCAAGAATGAATTCACATATCTTGACTTTGGTAGTGAGTCGTATCTCTGTCTGTATTTCTCAAGGTGGCAGCCGAAAAACACTGGTCTTTTGTTCAAACCTTGGGCAACGAATTCACTTGGTGTTGGAATCTCAGGAAACAAATTGATGTTTTTAATCATCCCATTTACTGTGATTGTTGTTGTAGTATGACCTGAATCGTTATATCTCAAATATGTATTTTCAACTATAGTTCCATTCGGCCATCCTTCCGTATCTGAGGTTGAATCCACGGAGAGAATCACATCAACTTGACGATCAGGCTGTAAAAATGGTTGATATGGTATATTCTGGCCATCCTCACCTCCATCAACCATGAACAGGTGCTTCGAATTGTAAATTGGTGACAGTTTAGCATCGCCATACCTGAAAAACGGGTTAGGAGAGTACAATGCATAATCTGGGTGCTTTTTTGGATCAACAGTGTCCTGCGTTGAAGTTAAACCGAACGTGTTTAGAACTGCTTTGATTGCTCTAAAGTTGTCCCTTGTTGAAGAAGCAGCGAGGTTCCAGATGTAGATCAAAACGTTGTTGAACAATGAAGAAGATGTTCCTGTAATGAACCCCGCATTGTCAAATCCAACATAGCAAACTGAACGGTTATTGATGTGGATAAGCGGCCGTCCATCGTACATTGATGACCCTAAGTATTTCATCTTCACGAACATTTGAGAATCCCAAGAACCAAATTCATATGGCGTAAACTCAAAGATACTTGAATTCACACTAGTTGTTTCGATCCCTGGTTCACGAAGGTTTGATATAATCACTGGATACGGTTGTTGATACCTTTTGAATGACGGAAGATCTATAACTCCAGATAAAGTTGTATTAGGTGCTCTTGCACTCTTTGGAAACACTCGTCTTGATAATGCCCTCCCCCAGTAATCCGTGAAGGAGACTGGAAATCCAGCGGCTTTTTTGGCTCGGACTTCAACATGAAGGTTCTTGTAGAAGTTAAGAATCTTTTTCATACTTTTAAAGGAGAGTACAGGTGCAAATTCAACGTCAGGGAGGAGATTCTGGACGGTTTTTGCATCCTCTTTCTTCTTGAACATGTCCCTAAAGAATGTCTTGAACGTTTCTAACCAGTCAGTGTCATCCTTTTTCAGTTCATCTCTCTCCACCAAGTGTGAACTTTCATCAAGATCTGGCAAGAGCTCCATATATGCGTAAAAATCATCAAAAGACTCATCCCCAGTGGTACCAAAGTCTCTTTTATTACGATTGTTGTTCAATTTGTCATAAAACTCAGAGTCGTCAACAGCACGAATTTCTGGTGGGAGTACTTGGATCTCGTTCCTACTGACATCCATCATCTTCAAACTAGGAACCCCTTCTAGCAACGGTTCGTTGATATCCCATTCGTTACGCAACCTCACCAAAGGTATGAAATCACTGAGTGAAAGTGACATCAAAGTCCAAGTGCCGCCAGATATCGAACTGATATACGAGGCCGATTGCAAAAGACCACCAAGATGGCCTTCATCCATAGACCTACTGGATCTATCATCCAAAGCTGTCAAAAACCCCAACGCTGTTAACGACGCTCTATACCCTCCACCTGATATTGCAATGGCCAAGTTCAAAGGTTTTGATGTTGATAGTGTAAACCGTTTAACGTCCAAACCTGGTATTTTCACCCTGTTGAGAAACTTCTGTAACGACATTTCTGTCAAGGTCTGTCTATTGGTGATGTACAGCCTCTCATCTTCACTCGTTGTCTTTATTCATTAGTTCATCACAGTCTAAACAACAAGATGCAAAACATAAATGGTTTTATGGTATCAAATTCACCTGTCCGTATCTCAAGAGAGGATGATTTGGACATTCCACGGCTGTAGGGGCATATGTAGCGCCTACAATAGTTAAAAACCAGA